TTCTTGGACTACGGGGGGGGGGGGGGGGGGGCAGAACATGTTTGGAAACCACTGAATTAATCGAAACTGACAATATTGGAAATTTTAGAGCATCAATGATTATCAGAAAAATTATGATTTTTCTGTGGCCCCGGAACGCAGTTTTGGCAAGTTATATCTGCTTAATCAGAAAATGTTAAGTAAAAGACAAATACTTTTTCTTTAATTTGCCTTTGTTTTATTTATTTATATTTTCATTAAATAATAAGTCATGCCACAAACATCAAGGACGTTCTTACTCAAAAACAACAAAGGTTGTAGAAGAACATGTTTACTTTTGCAATAATAAAAATAAGCCCAAAAAGGTAAAAGAAAATATGTGTTTTATTTATTATTGTGCTGGTAATGAAAAAAAGAAAATTTTGACCCCTAATACTTTCAACATGGGGAATTTTGACCCTCAGTGCAAAATGTTTGGACACCCCTGATATATGTGGGGAAAAACGTAAAAATGTGTCGAAGTCTGAACATGTTTAGTGATCATACCTGCGGGATTTGCTCCAGGTTCAGATGCCGAGTCACTGCTATCGATATTTCTGAGTAATAATCACCGATGACCGCCGTCACCGGTGGGCGGGGCGAGTGCTGGCAATCTGTTCCGTTTGCTAAAAATAAAACAAAAACATAAAGGCAGTTTTGTTTACTGTAAAAGTGGAAATATAACACTAAGACTTCTGAAAATGAAATTGTTTGGTTACTATAAGATGCCTAAAATATTTGTAAATAAACTAAAATGGAGCCCAATGGGGGACAAAGAGGATTTTTTTTAATTATTTTTTGCCTTGTCTCCCAATCTCGCATCTCGTTGGTGTGTGTGAAGTTTTGTATCTTTTTCTTTAGGACACAACCAACCGCACCACAAACTATGTCAGACATGAACTTTCGATTTCATACCTAAACAAGGAAAAAAGATCAAAACTATTTGAAATTGATTTGTTTGTCGTCTGACAGCTGTAATTGTTTTTTCTTGTTTGTGGTCTGAATAGCTGATTTTTAGGCGCATTTCCATCTCCAGCTTTCACAAACAAACATAAAAACACACAGAAATTGATTAATTTTAATTAGTTTCTGCACCAAAGCGTTAAGAATAGAAATAGGTTTTCAGGCTCTTTAATCGACAGAATCGGCCAAATCAATTTATTGCAAAAGAAAAAATGTCCCTAATGGGACCCCGTATTTTCAGCGTGGATTAATAAATGTTGCAAACAGACTAGTTTTTGCTCACGGTTCATTTTCATGAAGGACAGCGTGTTTCTGAGCGCCGTGGTGACGTCAGCGCAGGAGTCCATGATGTGGAAACCCAGAGTGATGTTCCCCAGCTCCCCGCTGCGGTTTATCTCCTCCACCGCATGCACCATCATCAGAGACTGGGCCAGGCGGGCCACGCTGAACCTGATCAATACATCGATCACTTACCAATACATCCAACAGCACACATTCTGCAGAAACAAACGCGTACCTGTCACACTGTCCTGTTTTGCTGACGCTCTCGTGTATTGGGAACAATCCTCCAATCATAATGTCTCCTGGAGATTTGGCTTCCTGATTGGGTTCACAACAGAAAAACTGAAGTGATAAAACAGACAAAAGGCCCCAAAAGCTAAAAAATAGTTTCATCTTCTTTCCTTCTGCTTAAACTTTCTCCAAGAAGAAATCAGAGACTGTGTCTCTCTGATGTGGCGACCAAACACTAAATGCCCAAACTTCCTGATCACCAACTGGAACCATTATGTCTTCCTCAGAAACGTTGTCGTTACTCTCTATCAAGCGTAAGGAATGTCAAATAAAATCGCAGCTACCTTCCTTGTTTTGTTCACAGTTCTCTTCAATTGATCAGCTTAAAAACTTTAAACTAAAAGTTAAAATAAATTAATAAGCTTTATAAATGTGATTCGTGTTTATTTTGTGAATAAAAATCATTATTTGTGATCATTTCTGTTGCTGACAGGGAAATAAAAGTGGGGTAATCCCCAGAAGGAGCGATGATGTAAAGCTTGAAGAGCAGGTTCTCTTTTGTTTTCTCTTCAAACGAAATCTTATCTGTGAGATCAAACACTTAAACAGAGCAAAATGAAGTTAACCTTTGGGAGTATTCTCTTCCTTATCCTCAGATCTCTGTCTTTAAACAGCTAACAGTAAAATTACATTTAATTTCCTTGGCATTTTTTTGTAGCTTGAATATTGAATCTAATTTAATATAAATATCTGATTACAGCCTTACAGTACAGATAATTATTGATTAATATGTGTAAAAAATATTTTTATTGCAGTATCTGAGTTATTTTAACTTTATTTGGTAGCAGTAGCTCTAGAGGAATGTTTTCTTGAATGTTTTATTTATTTTACTCTGAGCCTATGATTTATTTTTCAAAAGCTCAAATTATGCAAAACAAACCAAAAGACAACACTTTCACAATAGCGACTATAACCTAAAAAGTTTTAATATGCGTTGAAACAAATGCCCAGTTTTCGTTACAAAATATTGAAAACATATTCCTACTTATTTACAAAATAAACATACAATGTGCTTCTATAATGGGCTGCTAATAATAAGACAGATTATTAACTTCGTTAAAACTGCCCTCAGTCTTTTGATGTCGTAAAGCTGCACGATCAAATAATAAAATATATAAATAAAAAAATAAAAGCCTGAAACATGAAACCGGAAGTTATTCATTTTTAAAATTAAGTAAAGAGTTTATGTAAAAATAAATAAATAAATAAATAAATAAATAAATAAATAAAAATAAAAAAAACTTATTTAATTTTTATGACTTTGGCTGCTTATCTAAAGTTTCCTACATTTTACATTTCATTTTATTAAATAAAAAAAAGTGGCTCACATTTCCAATTTTAATCACTAACGTGGATAGTTTTATTGTTTTTCACTAATCAGCAAAAATAAAATTGTTAAAATAAGGGACACTTTGAGAATTATTTATTGACACTTAATGCAAACCTTTCTTTTTATAAAAACGGTGTTTATTTTAGGCTTTAAAAATAAAACAAAACTGAGCCAAAAATGGAATAAAATTGCTATGTTTTTGGATAAAACCCAAAGTGGCATGAAAAGAATCCTGATATAGTTTTAAACTTAGCAGCAGACTGTGATGAAATAATGGTTAACAGAAATAATTCAGAGTATATGCTGAAAAAAATGGGTTCATAAATTATTCGAACAATAACACACACACACACGCACGCACGCACACACACACACACACACACACACACACACACACACACACACACACACACACAAAATATATAATTTTACACGGTTTCGTTTTATTTCGAAAAAGCCTCGCCGGAAGTGCCGTGCCGGTCCGGCCTAACTCGTTTCTGCGGTTTGTTGTTGATGGCCGTGCAGCCATTTCCATGCAATGCTAAGCAGAATATTCGACCTATTTAGTGAGGTTATGCGAAGTGTTATTAAACAAGGGGGTATTTCTTAATTTATAGGCTGTTATAGCTTTATTTTCGGTTTGTTTGTCTGCGTATCACGTAGCGTTAGCCTCCGTAGCTCTACGTATCTCGTGCTTAAAGGTAAGAGAACAGCAGCTGCTACCTAGCTAAGAGGCTAAGGCTAGCAAGGATAATTATGTGTACTTTAAGCAAATTTATTTTAAAAACAAACATATAGTCAGTGGAAACGCAGTTAATGAAGGATGATATTCGTCCATTAACAGAAACAAATTCAGCTTGTATTATTACTTAAATATAAATAGTTTCTGAAATAAACTATTTCCAATGTTTTTAGGATACGAGAGTTGCATGAGCTGACTAAACGTGTCTGAATGTAAAAGTATAAAATCAGATCGCATGTTTCCCTTTCAGGTTGAAAACATGTCCAGACCGAGGTCCAGATCTCCGCATTACAGGTATTTTATCTACCTGAGTCAAGTTACCCCACTTTGTCAAATCTAACGAAACTGATGTGGAACATTTGTGCAGCAAAAATGTTTAGTTTGTGCTGCTTTTGCTTAGAAGATATTACTGAAAGTTTCTCCACATTACCCAAAATCTAAATTAAAATCTACACAAATCTAATAAAATTGGGCTGAAATGTTTGTGCTACATATGTACAGTAAAAATGTTCTTGTGCCGCTCGCTTTTAAGGAATTAAGGAATTTGTGCTGGTAAATTAGTTTGCCCCTATATTTATTGCACAAACAAACCAGTTTTGTTGAATTTGCAGTAGGTGGGATAACTTCACTCAGGATCTTAACTCCATTTAATTCCTGTAAAACTGCAACATTTATTCCACCTTTCTTATTTTGTCACATTTGATGACGTTTGTTTGCTTCTTGTTTCAGGAGATTCCCCTGGGAGGAACCGGACTTTGATCCCCGGAAAGTAATCGCAGAACTGGACGGGAATCCTCGGGACAGGGGCCGCCACCCCAGAGAGGGTCCGGATGACTATAGGGGCCCCTACAAGGAGGACCGGTACCGAGACGACCCGAGAAGATCTCTGTACCAAGACGAGCCTCAATTCAGGCACCAGCAACACCTGGACCACGACGAGTGTGACCACTGGGGGGCGTCGCCTCACCGTGACGACATGCGCTTTGAGAACCGCAGGTTTTCCCCGCGGGATGAACGGTTTGACGACTTTCAGAGGTTTGATGACAGAGGGGACGGTCCGCCGCCGCTGCTGCCGGGCTTATCGCCCAACCCGCGGTCGGACCAGCCTCAGAGGAAGGTGGGGCCGGGCTGGAGGAGGGAGGAGGCGGGCCGGGATCAGGGCTGGGATCAGGGCGGGTTCAGAGGCTTCAGCCCCGGTATGAGGGCAGACTCGGAGAAAGGAGGGCGGTTCCCTCAGCAGCAGAACAGACACTACGACAGGAACCCGCATTTCAAACGACCACGGCGACAAACGGACGCCGCCGATCACCCGGGGTAAATCTATGGGAGCAAAATCTGGAAAATCAAGATTGCAAAGGATTCTCACCTTTCCCTCCGTAACTGGAGATTCCTCACTGTTTCAAATCCTGCTAGCTTCACTAACGAGTAGCAGAGTTAGGAGTCATTGCATGATTTACTTTTTAACCCGTTTCTGTTAGCAGTAATGCATGAATCTTCCTGTCACTGTGTCTCCATGTCTGAACCATGTCACCTCCTCTTATGCCACCACAGGTTCAGGGAGGAAGAGGAGGATGAGGAGGACTTTGGGGGCCGCGGTTACTCTGTGGAGAGACCCAGAGGTGGGTTTAGAGGACGCAGTCGGGGCAGCTTTCCCCGCCGGGACGCGGGGCGGTTTGCCGGAGACCTTGGCATGGAGGCCGATGCTAATCGGTTCGATTACGATGCTAGCTTTGAGCGGCCGCCGAGTCCGTCGGAGCATTTCAGGAGGGAAGATGGCGCCCACCGCCCACATTTCCACGAAGACTCACAGGACCCCGGCTATCAGGAGCCGAGCAGGAGGAGCCCTGAGGCTCACAGATATGGTAACCATGGAAACAAGCGTTGGAGGGGGCGAGGGCGGTACAACCACGGTCCGAGAGGACGGACCGGACCCCACAGACACCAGCCGCGGTACGCGGACCCCCCACAGGCCGAGCAGAGGCATGGCTACCCCGCCTTCAGGGACGACGAACCCGGCTGGGAGGACCGAGACGCCCCGTCGCCATGGAGACGCAGCCGCTCCCAAAGCCTGGACCCAAACGAACGAACCGAACGGCCGCCGCCACCACCGGCCAAAAGGGGATGGAACGAGCCGCAAAACGATGGCGTGGGAGTCGTAACCGAGGAAACGCTCACCATCAAGGTGGACATGAGTCGACCCGTTAACAAGAGCAGGTAAGAGGTCAACCAGGGGTCGGGGTGAAAGTTCACACTTACTTTTTCTGATAAACAAACCCAACATGGAGGACAAAGAGGAAGCGATTGATCAAGATGGAGCTGAGCGCAACTTACCCGAGTTAATCCTCTGTGTGCATCTTCGACTTTAAACAAACTCAAGATGGACGACGAAGAGGAAGGGATTGGTCAGGATGGAGCTGAATGCAGGTCAACCCGGGGTGAGAGGTGAAAGTTCACACTTACTTTTTCTCAAAACAAACAACATGGATGGACGAACATCCAAACATCCGTGGATGGAGTCAAGATGGAGTTGAACGTAACTCACCCAAGTTATTCCTCTGACTTCGCCCTTTTCTCTCAAAACAAGTAGGACGACGAAAGAGGAAGAGATTGGTCAAGATGGAGCTGAATGCAGGTCAACCCGGGGTGAGAGGTGAAAGTTCACATTTACTTTTTTTCAAAAACAAGCACAAGATGGAGGATGAAAAGGAAGGGATTGGTCAAGAGAAGCCGAATGCAGCTTACCCGAGTTATTCCTCTGCAGTTTGCCTTCATCGTCCTTTTCTCTCATAACAAGATGGAGGACGAAGAGGAAGAGACGAAGGAATTGAACACGTCTTATGTGTGTTTTTCATCTGGAAGTGAGGAACAGTAAGTTCATCTGGATTAATCCCAGATGTTGTCATGGCAACGTCGTCATGGCAGAGTCCGATTGTAGCGCCATGTTGTCTCGTTCTCCACCTTAAAGCCCCAGTTCACCCCACTGGTCCCAACTGGATTCATGGGGAATAATGTTGGAAAGCTTCAAGTTTTAACAAAAAGGAGAGAAATATAAAACTTTTCCTGCAATAAAACCTGATGAAGCTCAGAGCCTCAAGAAC